CTCACCTGAAAAATAAATGGATAAATACATGGAGGGCATATATAAATATATACACACGTCCATACGTATATAAAGATAAACATACATACATACCTTTAGAAGGCAGAGGGTGTCGGTCTTTTCCGCTCAGATTCAGCTATCGGAGCATGAAGCTAATGTTTACTCTTGCTCTCTGGCGCTCAAGAGGTAGAGGAGCCAAATGTCTGGCTCACTGCTGCCAACTAGTGGTAAGAGGCTGAACTACAACATAAAATGAACGACTGGCAGGAAAGTTGACATTTTAAACCTTAATAAAAAATCAATACAGGGTTTTAGAATATCGATACAGTATTGGGAAATGAAATATCGCGATATTTCAGTGTATCGATATTTTCTTACATCCCTAGTTTTTTATTAGTTTTAATGATCTGTGTTCTTTATCAGGACTTCCTGTTTAAAACAAAAGTAAGTCGACTAAATGAAAAAACAAGCCAGCTTTGTTTTTTATCAGCTGAAGTGTTTGATTACACAGATTCTACTGTTATCCAATCCGCTGGCTCTGATTGGCTGAGAGCTGACTCTTCTTCTGTGGTTTCAGGTCAGGAAGCGTCGCCACGGACTGGGTGGAGATTTACTCCTTCGTGAAGAACCTGACGGACCGGTTTGTGAGGTGAGTATGAAGTCACGTGTTTAAATGTTTTAAATTTGGAAATGTTTATATTTAGGGTTTTATTTTTAGAAATAAAGAAAAAATTTAAGCTGAAATGTTCAGAAGAAGCTGAAACTGACTGGTTGAAGCTAACAGAAGAAGGAAAACACTAGCTGATTGCAAAAAGGAGAATACACTATCTAAAAGCTAAATGTTGCTAAAGGCTAGCTAAAAAAGCCTAAAGTAGCAAAAATGTACATAATGCTAAAGTAGCTAAATAATAGCTAACAGATAAAGTAGCAGAAAATGCTCCAAGTAGCAAAATTGATGCCTAAAGCTTTAGTAGCAAAACGATACAGCTGAAGTAGTAAAACATCAGCGAAAAGTAGCAGATTATTTGGTAAAAAATAAAAGTAGCAATACTGTAGCTAAAAGTAGCAGAATGGTAGCAAATGGCTAAAAGTACCAAAGGCTTAGCTAAACAATAATATTTAAAAGACTAGCAAAAACATAAAGAGAATGATAGCTAAAAGTGACAAAAAATATGGTAAAAAGTAGCGAAAGGATAGCTAAAATATAAACTTAAGAAAATTGTAGCTAATAGCCAGAGTTGTAAGATGTTAGCTGAAAGTACCAAAATTTTAGGTAAATCGTAAAAGTAGCAAAATGATAGCTAAAACTTAAAAGTAGCGAAAGCAATGCTAAAATTAGCAGAATGGTGGCAAATGGCTAAAAGTAGCTAAAATATTAGGTAAAATATAGAAATAGCAAAAGTATAGCTAAAGATTGAAAAGAGCACAAGTGTAGCTAAAACCTAAATATAGCTAAATAATAGCTAGCACCTAAATAAGTAAAATCTTAGCTGAAAGTACAAAATGTTAGGTGAATTGTAAAATGATGCCATTTGGCTAAAAGCACCAAAAAGCTAGCTAAATAGTAGTAGCATCACGGCATTAGCAAAACTATAAAAATAGCAAATATTTAAAAGTAGCTAAAAGCTGAATGTAGCTTGAAGGCTATCTGAGTCCAAATTATATGTAGAAGCTAAAAATGGCAAAAGGCTAGTTAGAAGTAGCAAAAGCTTAGCTAAAAGCTACAAGTATCAAAAGGGTAACTAAAACTTAAAGGCTAGTTGAAAGCAGCAGAAGGCCAACTAAAACAGCAAAGAAGTAGCTAAAAATCAAAAGTCTGTAAAAGAGAGAGAGCTACATATTTTCCTGGGTAAAATATAAGTTAATAAGTGTAAAAGTTATAAAACCCTAAATTCATTGGAGCGTCTCCTGAATGAGCCGAACGTTTGGAAACACGACGAGATAGAATAAAACATTCACAGAACAAGTCATAAAAACGTAAAGATGTCTGTGTGTGGAAGCGACTTGATGGTGGGATGTTAGAAGTTTAGTTAATTAAACACTTTTGACTGATTTCTTATATTTTGCATATGTTTGATATTAAGTTAGAGCTTTGCTGGAACTCAGAGGCTGACATCGTTTGCCGTCTGTTGCGCAGATTTTACAGGACTTCCCACCTGTTCTCCAAACTCTGCTCTTGCTTCCTCTCTGATCATAATTAATAAAAGACAAAAGCGTTGAGCCGGACTCGAATGGTTCAGCTTGCTGAGTGTTTGAGCGGAGCGGCGCCTGCCAGCACAGTACAGACGGCAGCGCCGCAGCCAGAATGAAGTGGTTGGTTGAAGAAAATAGCAAAGGCACCAGGTGGGAGTGGGTGGCAGAGAGGAGCAGTCTTCTGGGCTGTGAGAATGGCCATTTGCACCGGGGGGGTCCGGCTCCACACTTCTCCCCTGCTCCCACCACAGAACGGCTGACGGGCAGACAATGTACAGTAAAGCAAAAGAACACTGGAAGGCGACGAGGACAATCTGCTGAACAATGCTCGCTCACCAAGAGCACTTCTGTTCTGCCATGTGGAGCAAACTGGACGACTTCATCACCCCCCTCCCTCTCCAAAAAAAAAAAAAAAATCTCCTCAGCAGTCTGATTTGTCCCTGGCATCAGTTCATTCAGCTCCTATAAAAACATGCATTTCCATCCTAAAGGTTGGGCTCTCAGTGGACTGAGACGTACAGGCGGCGTGCCAGCTCCGCCTTAAAGACGCTCTGTGGGGGAGGATGGCGACTGGGCCGTGTGTCCTGTGCTGGAGAAGTGTCAGCACCTCTCCTTATGCTCCGAAGCTCCACATCTCTGAAGGAAACACTCGTCTGCTTAATGAGCTGAAGTTTTCTAACGTGTCTGAAGCAGAGCTGGGAAGTTACCGAG